TCCAACTAGTTGCATATATACAAAAATTTTCAGAAAATAAAACAATTCCAATGCGGCTTGGGTTCTAGTGCCGCTAACCTGCGCATGTTCTTGTTACCTCAACAAAATCAGCATTTTTACGATTTAAACCAAATTTTTTATGGACCCGTTTGAAATTAGGCATTAAAAGTTTGTTGTAGGTATCCTACCCACTGGAATAAAATTTTTATAGTAGATCCAAGTTTCGGTAAAGCATCCATACAACGGCATCTGCAAATATTCAATTATCTGATGATTTTAGTATACTCCAAGGAAAGTCCAAGGAATCCTTATTTGGATTGATAGTATTGTCGATATTATTTAATATGGTCCAATAAACTTATGCAGATCCACATCTTCGTATAGCCCCCACATAAAGGTATTCAGTTTTCAAAGGATTTTTTTTTGTCAATTTTTCAAGTTTGCTCCAAATGGTGGAGGATTTGTAGTTTTTGTATTAACTTCGATTAAATTTCAGCAATTTGCAATTTAAATGTTTTTCTTTTCGCGAATCAACAAAAATGCATTCTTTTGGCATTGACATAAAAACCAGCATAAATTTCCTGCTGCCTCGGGAAGACTTTCCTTCCAGTTGTGTGCGTGTGTGTGTGTGTGTGAAAGGACTTTAAGCTTGCTACCAGTGAATATTATGTTAAAACACCATAATAAATGTAATTCAACAATGCTTTAGAATCGCTGCTGATTTCTTTCCTTTTTCTGTTTGTACTGCTCCGAATATTGGAGAGGGGTATGGACTTTTTGGTTGTTGTTGTGGAAATGAATACAAAAGAAAACAAAAAACTCGTTTCGTTTTTTTACTGTTGTGCTCAATTGTAGGTTCCATTACCGGACGGTCAACCTTTTTGCCAGGCACTGGTGATCCTTAACAAAATGCACAACATTGTATTTGTGTCAGTTAGGATGGGTGTGTGTGTGTGTATTTGTTTGTGTGAAAATGTTCTTAACGGATGGTGAATGGTGATGGCAAATGGTTTTGTTTGACTGTAAATGCTGACAACTGGATCCTTTTCATTGCTTTCAACAAATACGAACACACACATATACACTCACACTCACACACAAACACACACACTTATGCACACATTCAAGTATGGTATACATTTAAACATTTGCGAAACAACATCAGCCAGCCAACCAACCAACCATCCAACGAGAGGAGGTACGGAATTTATTCGGCGAACATGTCGGAAATGAATAAAATGAAGACATGTATTGTTGTTTTCAAAACTGCAAACGGAGGTGGTTGTATATTTTCCTTGATGTTGTTGTTGTTTCTCGTTTTTCGGGGTTTATGTCACTTCATTTTGTTTTGGCTGGGAGGGCACGTATGTGTGTGTGTGCTAGTATGGGTGTATGAAACATTTTGTCCATTTCGCCTCGTTTTCATTGTTATGACCATGGCTCGCGCTGTGTTAACTCTCTGTTATATAGCCATTATGTTATGCCTGTTCCATTTGGCGAATTTGTTTTTTTTTTTTGCTGTAGTTTAATGTAACACCCGCCTCTTAATGGTGTCACAACGTTCACATTCGAATGTGTTTTAACGTTAGCATCGGGCAGGGAAAAAAGGTCATAATGAATTTTCAAGTTCATAATAAAATTGTTGAAGTTTTTCATATGCAGTTTTATGGCGTTGCTTTTTAATGGTCGGTCGGTCGGTCGGTCGTCAGCAATAGTGAAAAATAATTTTTAAAATTGTACGAGGCAATTTAAATGCGAACATGAGAAGAATTCTTGTGGGTTCTTATATCGATTGGCATTTTCAGATGTGGAATGAGTGTTCGGGCGGACTTTTAAAGTCTTTTCAGAATTAGGAGAAGAGGCTAAATGATGGATATGGGGGGATAAGAAGAACATCTTTATGTTGCTTCATTCTGCATTATTTTACCAAAAGGGAATGGATAATAACCACAAATGGAAGAAGTTGCAAGTGCCCGCTACTTCGTCAGCGAAAATTCCACTATAAAATATTAAATTCGCCTCAACAGTCTGTTTTAGGCTTTTTAGTACTTAAAATGCGTAAATTGTTCTGTTTGACAAAATTCAAATCAAATCAAACAAATCAAAATTGTATATATCGTACTAAATTTTCAGACTTTCAAGGTTTTATACATTATTCGAGTTTTTCTTTTTTCGGGGAAATAATAATAGGAAAATGTTTACATCCTGCATCTAAAAATTCTTCAAAATCTCTCATTTTGAAGTTTACAGAGGAGGATATAGGCACAATTACTGCACAATGGACCCACATCGAATTTTTCTGTCCAAAACCATTTCAATGTCTCCATATGTAAGGCCTAGAAACCAACAATAACTTCAATATCAAATTCCAGAATCTCAGCTCAATCCCTTCACCTAGCACGAAATTTAGTAACATTTAGTACGTACATTCAAAACAATCGACATCTCTCCATCCTAGACATCTACAGTGATCCAAAATTAATACCATTTAGCATCTTTCGAACAGTTGTAATACAAATTATTGAGACCACCCCCATATCCCAATACCAGATACAACCAGAGGCCTCAATTTTAAATTTAAAGATTTCTTTTCAATCCCTTAACTCCATACCAAATTTAGTACTATTTAGTACTTTTCGTGCAATTATAGTAGACATTTCCAAAACCAGTTTCATATCACAATTCCAGATGCCAATATACCCCTCAATATAAATTTTGAGGATTCCAGCACTATTCTTACACCCAATACCAAATTTAGTACAATTTAGTACATTTCGTTCTTTTTCAATTCCAGACACCAACGGAGACCTCAATATCAATTTTCAGGATTCAGACCCTATTCCTCCACACGATGCAAAATTTAGTACTATTTGGTACTTTTCGTACAATTATGATACTCATTTCCAAACCCACCTACATATCTCAATCCCAGATGTCAATATAGACCTCAATATCAAATTTAAGGATTTCAACACAACCCCATAAACCAATACCCAACTTAGTACCACTAAGTACTTTTCCACCAATTTTAGTACAAATTTCCAAAATACTTCTTATACACACAGACACCAACAGTGATATCTATATCAAATTTCAGGATTTCAGCTCTATTCCTTCGCCCAATACCAAATTTAGTACTATCTAGTACTTTTCGTGTGATTGTGGTACACATTTCCAGAACCAATGCCCATGCCCAATTTAGAACCATTTAGTACTTTTTTTATAATTATGGTACACATTTCTAAAACCACCTCCATATCTCAATTCCAGATACCATCAAAGACCTTTGTATCAATTTTTAGGATTTTAGCTCTATTTCTTCACACAAAAACAAAATTTAGTACTATTTAGTACTTTTCGCAGAATTTTAGTACACATTTTCAAAACCACATTCATATCTCAATTCCAGATAACATCAGTAATTTTAATATCAAATTTTAGAATTTCAGTAACCAATAGCAAATTGTGCCAAATAAAATATAGAACTATTTCGTACTTTTTGTGCACTTATAGTACACATTTCCAAAATCACCTCCATATCTGACTTCAATATCAGATTTGGCCATTCCAATACCAAATTTAGTACTATCTAGTACTTTTCGTGTGATTGTGGTACACATTTCCAGAACCAATGCCCATGCCCAATTTAGAACCATTTAGTACTTTTTTTTATAATTATGGTACACATTTCTAAAACCACCTCCATATCTCAATTCCAGATACCAACAAAGACCTTTGTATCAATTTTTAGGATTTTAGCTCTATTTCTTCACCCAACACCAAATTTAGTACCATTTAGTACTTTTCGTAGAACTAAATTACACATTTTCAGAAACCAACTGAGACCTCAATATCAAATTTGGGGATTGCAACCGAATTCCAGCTCTATCTCTCCATCCAATACCAAATTTAGTTCTTTCCCTACAAATATACGACGCATTTTCAAGTCACTGCGAAGTCTTAAAAACAGATACCATCATTAATCTAAATATCAAATTTCAGAATCTTATCCTTTTCCCTTCACCCAATACCAAATATGGTACCATGCGGTACTTTTCGTACAATTATAATACATATTTCTGTAACCAACTCCATATGTCCAGGCTACACATGAACAGCGACCCTAATACCAAATTTCTGATTATACCAAATACCAAATTGTACCATATATAATACTATTTAGTACATTACCTGAACTTGTTGTACACATTTCCAACTCTTTATCACAGGTCTTCCACCAACAGGATCCCAATACAACATTTCCAAATTTCAGCTACATTCGTTTACCCAAAACCAAACTGTGCCGAAATTAGTTCTATTTAGTACACATTTGTAAAACAACCTTCATATATCAAACTTAATTCCCAACCTTGATTCTCATACTAAAGTCAATGTTTTAGCTCTATCCGTTACACATAATACCAAATGGCACCATTTTAAAAGTTTAGTACCATTTTGGAACTATTCGTAGTCTTAAAGTTCGAATTCCCAAAAACGCTTTGGTACATTTATCCTGCCCTCCATCAGTGACTCTCATTTAAAATTACATAATTCCACCTCCTTCCGTTTGTCCAATATTATTATTTTTAGTACATTTTACCCTTTTAGTACGAATTTTGAAAAACCCAACCTTCGCATCAAGACTGACCTTCGTGTAAAATGTCTAGAAACTAGCTTCAGCCGTTTCATCTGGGCGTTAATTCTCAGTCAGGTATTTCTGTACTACTTTATATAAATCGATATATAACTTTCATTGACTGATCTGCAGAAATCTGCAAAATATATGCTCGAAGTAATCGGAAAATATCATGGCGTGGTGTTCTTTTAAATTTTTCAAAAAAAAAAAAAAAAATAAATAAATACCGAAATTATATTTAAAATTAGACGTTACCGAATGCGGAATGCACTCGAAGTTTCACCCAACGCGAATTGTCCCAAAAAGATCATCACTTGTTATCTACATAAATATATTTAGAATTAAAAACATACTCTGTACTTACCCCATTCTTTTCACACACACCGCCGGCATTCTTCAAATCACCCGTCCAGGCTAGACCCAGTGTGCCCATTTCGAAATCCCGATAGGTGAACATATAAGCCAAACAGAAAGCATCGTAATCCTCCTCTGAAAATGGCAAACAAACAAAAAAAGACATATAGTACATATTTCAATACAAAAATACACGGAGGTAAGAGTATTAGGAGAATAAAGGAATTGAAGATAAAGAAGAAAGCGTAGACTAAAGAATACAACAAAAAAAAAAAAAAAAAAATGAGACGAGACGAAATGATAGCATTAGAGACGTCATTTAATGTCGAAAAAATAAAATAGCAACACTGTGAGGGATTATTATTTTTTTTCTAAGAGCATATACTACAGTAAGATACCGATAATTGTAATCACAACAAGTAGAACTGTTTTTGTAGCATCCTTGTTTCCGCGAATTGCAAAAACTTGCTTCACCTGTTCACATTTTGCTCTAATCTGAATTGACTGTATTTAAGTCTCAAAATGTACAATTTTCAGCAAAAACACATAAATATTTGTTTTGTTTTTGTGTTGGTGTGTGTGTGTTGTTATAATAATTTTTATAGCATAAATTGGTATGTATGTGTGCATGTACCTTTAACATTCTCTCGGAGGATTTTTATTTCGAATTTCAAACTAAATATACAATATACCCTTGAATTGTATGGCATAAATATTTAAAACAATATTATTGTTATTACGTATTTTGTGTTCGTGTGTGTTGTGAAAACATATTCCTCAAAGGACAGCAGAACGAAATGTATTTGTAAACAACATCTCACTACTTCGGGAATATGCCATGACATTACAAAATGAAAAAAAAAAAAATATTTTTTTATTTGTTTTATGACATCACAGAAGCTTTAAAAAAATATTAGATGGTCAAAAAAGACAAATTTTTTAAAGTTTGAATTATTTAAAAAAGGGAATATTTTATACCATCATTCAGGAAATAATCTTGAAACTTTGGGAATAAATTAAATAGTATCGAAACGGTAATGAAATCTCAAAAAAAAAAAAAAAAGTCGAAAACTATAAAAGTCCGGAGCTGTCGGTATACAGGATGAGATGAAAAACCAATTTCAGACTGCTGTCATTTCTAAACCACTCGTCCGACAGCTGTTAAAATTATTCCAGTGACAGCTCATTATATTGTTTACAAGCGTAGAAAATAATTTTGGTGAGAATTTTCCAAAAAAAAAAAAAGTTATTCATGATGGGATTCAAGCGTGATAGTGTGATTTCTTTATATTCGGCTAGAAAACCACAAGGGGCTATCGTTAGAGCACTCCAGCATTTAAATATAAATAAATCTTTTGTGTCTCGTACAATCGCTCGTTAGCGTGATGCTGGTAGCGTAGCCCGACGTCAAGGAAGTGAACAAAACAGCAAAATAGGCAGAAATGGCTCCAAATGTAAAGAAGCGACTTGATCGCAGTGGCCGAAAAATGACTCGTATCGCAATATTCCATTCGCCAAATATTGAAAAATGAGCTCGGGGTAAACCATTAAAATTCCAATAATTGCAATAACTTACACCACAACAGAGAGATAATAAGAGTTAAAGAGTTGCTTCGCTTGGCCGAAAGTGGTGAACTGCCGAATGTGGGTTTCTCCGATGAGAAAACATTCGTTGTCCAGCAGTTTGTAAACAAACAAAATGATTTTTTTACTTGCCAAAGAGGTCAGCTGTAAACTTGCGAAAATTTTGAAAACTAGTCAAAAAGTATGTCCGTGCATTTTAATATATTTGGACTTGGATTTTTCAAACTGGCGACCCTTTATGAAGGAGTTTCTGAAAGAGTGGGCAAATATTGATCCCTTCGTATCTGATCTATGTCTGATATTATTAGAACAACGTGCAAGATTTTAACAAGTCACTTTATATGGGATATGTGATAATTTTTGGGAAACGTTGCAATGTGCGTGAGTTACCAGATATTGTGGACTGAAGTATTCCGAAGGGGTGGACTGATATCTTCATACCAGACATTGTTTTGGTAAAAATATTATGATGTTTGTGATAAATTTATTTATTCTAAATTTTGGACCGTTGTGGGAAGGAATGATCGGATATATTCTCTCTCCACGCCAGATTCTGTGTTAATAGAAATGTGGTCATGTGCAAAATTGAGTTTGTTTTTCAAAATTAATAGGAGATATAATTATTCAAAATTTTAACCCTTTGAGGGGGAGGTACTTGATGAAGTAGATTGATGCTGCTCATTTTTGCACCTTGCCTACAACTGATACAATTATTGTGACCTTTTGTGGGGGAGGTACCAGAAAAAGTGGAAATTGAAGTGATATTTGACAAAATTTGCCAAAGGTATTTAAAGACTGCATCTGCATAACAAAAATCAAAAGATCCGATGAAACATATAGTGGGAGCTATAGATATATTTCAACCAACTTTGAACAAATTTAATGTACTTGCTTCTAGAATAAATTCGGTTGCATTTGCCAAAATTCGTATTTTTTTGGCTGATATTATACATTTTTTTGTACAACAAATTTCCGATCGGAAGATGATATGTGTGAAAGCTATATTCAAATCGGAATCAATTTTTACAACATTTGGCAAAGCAAACAATGGGAAAGGGTCTTGTTGGACCTTTTTTAAAAATGTAGCAAGTCAAAATATTCCACAAAATTATGTCTCATTAAATTTTACTATAGGTCCTAGAAGACGTCAAAAGGATAAATCTTACCTAAAGACCAGAAATTCATACATATTAAAGACAAATTTTAGAGTTAAAACCGTTTTTTGTGTGAGTTTGTCCAAAAATCTCTAATAAAGCATAATTTTAGAAGAATGACGTCAAAGACGAAAATATTCTTCTTGAAATTTCACTACAAGTCACCAAGGGAAAAATTATTTCCCCTGTATATGAACAAAAATATTCGCAACAATGTTCCCAAAAATATCCGAAAATATTTCCTATTTGATTAATTTTTCCTCAGACTTTTTTCGAGTTAACGCCTGAAAGTAACATAAAATTTAATTTTAGATGGAAGGTGTCAAAAGAAGAAATAATCTACACATCATTTCACTATAAGTCTCGGAATAAACTATATATCCAGGTTTAATAGTTTTTATGAAAATTGCATTCAAAATGCATGTACTACAAGTGAGAATAATGTGATAATGTACTGCTAATTTAACACGTTTCCAATCGGAGTCAAAATTTAAAGGTAGATTTCATTTTTTGGAGAAAGTGTCAAAGGACGAATTATTCAAGATCGTATTTCATTGTTAGTCTTTGAACGAACGAAGTTTGTATATTCAATATTTACCATGAAAAAATATCATAAATTTTCGTTAAAGAAAAACTTTGTTTATTTCGCAAAAATAGCACTTTTTCCGATTCGCTGCAATATCTTAAAAATTCACAGTAAAAGAGCTTGTATAGTTGTGGATAATTCTAAGTCGATTCATTTTCATTCTCATTTTAATTTCGTAATCATACAAAAATGAGGATCCATAAAATATCACAACTAATTTTTGAAGTAGCAATGTTTGGTATTTAATTTCTTTGTACCAAGAATTAACGTCATCAACAACCCTGCCAATGTCCTTGAAAGTCAAAAATTGTTTTATTTTTTTATGAAGTTCGAAGAATACATGCTGGTCATGAAGCAGCTAATTTGTGTATATTTCACACACGAACGCATTTTCATAAAACAACATCAACTCAAGTAGCGTTCCGAGAGAGAGTGAGAGAGAGAGTGTGTGAGCTGTCTAAAGAAGAACATTATAGTTCACCTTGAATCTAGTTTTGAGTTGCATTTCTTCAAGTGTAATTGATTTTCAAAACATTTTACATATCTCTTTTCAGAAATGTGTAAACAACAACGGTTGAGATTTTCTATATGACTCTCTCTCTCCTTAGAAGTGTGTCTGTTTGCATGCTGCTGCCAGTGCGTGTTTCTCATTTCCATTCAGTGATTTTTTTTTGTTACCGTGAAAAGTAGAAAAATCCTTCAACTCAACATTTTCAATGGAGGGAAAATAAGTAAAAGTAAGTTATACGACATTCCAATGCATGTGTGTGCGGCAGTGTGTCTATGTGGATTACTCACAACTACATCATGGCCCATAATATTCATATTGGATGCATATGCATAAGATTACATATATTAAATGTAAACCGACCGCATACAATATTTAATCAGCTTTCATGGAAATTAGGTTAGAACGAGTGTTTACTTGTTGATATTGAATGCGATGCTTGCGGAATGGCAATTGTATTAACTTATTTACTGGTTACATTTGTAATATATATATATATATATTTACTAAATCATTGAGAGGGAGAGGAAGAGAGAGAGAGAAAACATTTTAGATATGAGATAACATTTATGGATGCAGAGAAGGACAGGGTCGTTTTGCATGGTTTGTCTTTTGAGGGCTCATCATTACCTCAAGTAAAAATTTAAAATGAAAAAAATTTTTTGAGGGTCATCATTACTAATAGATTGTACTTTATGCCATGATTTTTATTAATACCTTTAAGGATCAATAATGTGATAGTATTAAAATTAATGTGTAGATGGTCTTCGTTTTAGAAAATGGTAGGAGATCAATAACCTTTATGCTATCTGGTGTTTCTCGGGTCAGTTTCAATCCTCAAGTAAAAGTTTAAAATGAAAATTGGTTCGCCTAACAGTTGACTATCTATCCTACCACTTTATATATATAACCAGTAAAGAAAGTCTTAAAGTCGGGCGGGGCCGATATTTTGATACCCTACACCACTTTGCTAATTTAGCAGAGCTCCACATAACAATTAAAAGTTTTTTATGGGAGATTTCAATCATACACGCTATGATTATAATTATAATTTAAAATCAAAGGACTAAATATGCCAAAGCATTTGTATCTTTTAAATTGTATTGCCCCTTTGGTGCACAATTAATTTGAAATCGGATAAAGATATACATGGGAGCTATACCAAACCAGAACCTATCTCGATAAAAATTGGCAAAGATATTTCTGAGCTGTATTTTCCCGGAATATAACATTGCTACGGAGTGCATATTACGGCTGTGGGTAACAAATATAACAAATCGGATGAACAATATATATGGGAGCTATAGCAATATCTGATTCCATCTTCACCAAATTTGACATACTAGCTTCTAGACTCAATTCAGTCATAAATGCCAAATTCCATCCCATTTGGACAAATATTAGAGGTTTGGTGTACAATAAAAGGCAAATCGGACGAAGTTATATATGGGAGCTATATCCAAATCTGAACTGATCTCGATAAAATTTAGCAAATGTATTTCTGAGCTGTATTTGATATATTTCCACAGATATTGTTGTTACGAAGTGCATATTACGGCTGCGGAGGACCAAAAATAACAAATCGGATGAATAATATATATGGGAGCTATAGCTATATCTGAACCGATTTCGATCAAATTTGGCATACTTATTTTCAGGCCTAATTTGATTATATGTGCAAAATTCCATAATAGTCGGGCTGATATTACACGTTTGGTGCACAATAAAAGGCAAATCGGACGAAGATATATATGGGAGCTATATCTAAATTTTGACAGATTATTCAATAGGGTTCGTCCTTGGGCGAAACAAATGATTTGTGCAAAATTTCATCTGGATCGTGCAATAAATGCGAACTGTACTTTGTTTACAAAAATACATGGACAGACGGACGGAAGGACGGGAGGACGGATATGCATAAATCGACTCAGAATGTGATTCTATGCAGATCATCAAAAGGAACTATGGGTCTATCTCGTTTCCTTTTGCCTGTTACAAACAAACGCACAAAGAAATAATACCCTGACCACCTTGTGGTCAGAAATTGAGTATTTCTTGTTATTGGTCCTTTTTTTTTGTTTTCTGTCAGAGAAATACGAATTGCAAGAGTCGATTTTTCCAAGAGGAATTTCATTGCCGTTTATTTCTTTCACATCCACCCCAATGTCTCCAACATAAATCCATGTCGCATGGAAAAAATAATGCAATTTTATAAAACCACATACATGGCTTGTTATTGCTAACGTAATATCTGCGGATATCATCTGACTGGGTATGCGTGCCTTTATTAACTTTATTGCATTTTGACTGCGGTTATTGTTGAATATTTTTGCAAATTTTGCAATTATAAATTATTTCGAGCAGGCAGAGAGATGTCATACCAGTTTTTTTTTTTTTTTGACATGCATACCAACATACACGTTGGCATGCAAGATTTTATTAAGGTTGGCATGAGGGTATGAAATGGCATGAGGGTATGAAATGTTGCTCGAGAGGATATACATAACCATTTTAAGTTAAGAATGAAATTAAATGAGAATTCTACAAATTCATAAGATGCTGTTTATACATGCAGTTGTGAAATTTCGAAAAAATACCTAATCAAAGCTGTAGTGGGATTGTCGAACTCATTTTTTAATTTACCGAAAAAATTGGCAACTTTAAAACCCAAAATTTTGATATAAAAAATAAGTTAAAGTTGACAACATTGGTATCTATTGGTAGGTCTTACCAAAATATCGTTGATTACCGAAATTATAAGTGTTTTAATATTACCGATTTTTACAATAAATGAGTAAGAGAATTACACTACTGGTTTATATTTGTATTTTAGTCACCTATAAAGTGAGCTTTTATGGTTATTGCAATATGTTTGTAATATGAAACAAAAATTCGTGAAATGGAGCCGACTATATGATGTCCCAAAGCACTAGAAATAAATATTTAGCAGAGCTATTCACATATACTTTTATTTTTAGAATATATGTAAAGTACGATCGTATTAGAATGCGTAGGTACAGGGTGAGATGAAAAAAACTGAAACCAACTTTAGACTGCTGTCGTTTCTAAGCCACTCGTCCGACAGCTGTTAATATTATTACAGTGACAGCTCATTATATTGTTTGCAAGCGTACAAAAGCATTTTGGTGGGAATTTTCCAGAGAAAAAAGTTATTCGTAATGGAATTCAAGAGTGATAGTGGGATTTCTTTATATTTGGCTGGAAAACCACAAGTGGCTATAGTTGGAGCACTCCAGCATTTAAAAGTGAATAAATCTTTTGTGTCTGGTATCATCGCTCGTTACTGTGATACTGGTTGCGTAGCCCGACGTCAAGGAAGTGGACAGAAGAAAACAGCAACATCAGCAGAAATGGTTCGAAAAGTATAATAGCTACTTGATCGAAACCTTCGTCGCAGTTGTCGAAAAATGGCTCGTGAGCTGAACATTTCGCAAAAGGCCGAATGTGATGAACTGCCGAATTTGGTTTTCTCCGATGAGAAAACATACGTTGTCAAGCAGTTTGTAAAAGAAACCAAATCATCGTGTTTACTTGACAAAAAGGTCAGCCGAAAATTTACACCTTCGGTTGGCCACCATAACTCAAGCGCCAGCTATGGTCTCTCTCTACTCGTATTAATCGACCGTGGCATCAGAATAAATGCCGAATTTTATCGCGAAAATATTCTGGAGGGTGTATTAAAGCCTTGGGCGCCCAAACATTGTGGCCGCAAATCAGCACCATCGCACTCAACATGCGCCACCCAGAACGGCCACCAAAATCTCCGAATACCAATCCGTTGGACTGTTGTGTCTGGAGTATTTTGGAAAGCAAGGTTGGCACTAAAAAATACCAAAGTGTCGATCACCAAGCAAGCTCTTCGCCGGGAAGCGAGCGAGTTTCATTGGTCGTTCGAATGCCATAATTCGTGCCAAAAGTGATCAATTTGAACAAATCTAAACTTGTTCTAAAATTTGATGCTATTTCCGACATTTTTTGCTTTCATTTAATAAAATTAAAAAAAAAAAATAATAATAAATTGGATCTATAATTTTTGGAGATTTTAAGAAAAGCTGATAAGTTCATAATTCAAGTTTTCACATTGTAGAGGTAATTAAAAGTTTGTCAGAACTTAATGTAGCATTTACATGTTTGTGATTTATGCATGTCCGTCCGTCCGTCTGTCCATATATTTTTGTAAGGAAAATGCAGGTCGCATTTATTATTCGATTGAGATGAAATTTTTTAATAACATTTGTTGGGCTCAGAGACGAATCCTATTGAAATAGATTAGATATAGCTCCCATATATATATCTTCATCCGATTTTAGGTTTCTTGTGCACCAAATGGCAAATATCAGTCCAAATGGTGTGAATTTTGCTACATCCGACCGAATTCAGCCTACAAGCAGGCGCTTCAAATTTGGTGAAAATCGGTTCAGATATAGCTCCCATATATATATATTTCATCCGATTTTGGTGTTTAAGTCGTTATATGCACTCCACAAGACCGATATTTAGCACCAGATATGAGATACAGCCTAGCAATTCATAGATCAAATTTTATCAAGTTCGTTTCAGATTTGGATATAACTCCCACAGATATCTTCATCCGATTTTAGATTTTTTTGTGCACCAAATGGCTAATATCAGTCCAAATGGTGTGAATTTTGGCACTTCTGACCGAAGTCAATATAGAAATAAGTACTTTAAATTTGGTGGAAATCGGTTCAGATTTAGCTATAGCTAACATATGTATGTTTCAGTCCCTCACATTCGTAATATATACCCCACAAAAATGATATTTAGTACCAGATATTAGATTCAGCCCAGCAATACATGATTGAAATTTTATTAAGTTCGGTTCAGATTTGGATATAGCTCCCCTATATATCTTCGTCCGATTTTAGGTTTCTTGTGCACCAAATGGCTAATATCAGCCCAAAGTGAGTGAAAAGTTGCCAAGCAATATCATTCTAGAAGTTAACATTTAAAACTTATTGAAAATCGGTTCAGATATAGCTGTGGCTCCATATATATGTTACAGCCGTTTTTGGTGTTTAAATCTCCAACTTTCGGAATATGAACTCTACCATGATCATATTTTGTACCAGATATCTCATAGAGCTCAGAAATTCTCTTTTTTTTACGAGAGCTCTACTAAATATGCATCGTGGTGTAGGGTATCATATAGTCGACCACGCCCGACTTATGAGTTTTCCTTACTGGTTTTTAAGATATCTAAATGCATTTTTCCTCATATTTTCACTGGAGATATTACAGACTTTTGGCCATCGTTAAAGTTGTTTAAAAAAGTTCGCATTTGAATAATGTTTTCTTCAAATCCATTTTGAAATAAGTTGAGCAAAAATGATTTTGAAAACACTTTAAATTAAGTTTTCCAAAAATAAATATATTTTTGTCCACTCACAGCAAATGATATCTTATCACACACTTTCATTTCAGTTCTCAAAACAATCGCCAATAACTTACCTGAAAACAATTCCAAGAATTTTTCAACGCCATAATTTCCGGGAAATCGATATGAGGGATCCTTGATGGCGTTCATGTTGTGGACTTTAATGCGTTTTATCATGAAAGTGATGTTATCGGGCTTGCCGTCATTGTTAAAGTCTGAAATGGAAAAGGACAAACAGAAAATGAAAAATAAAAACAATTAAAAAAGCTATAAGTTTGGCCGGGCCGAACTTCGAATATCCTCCACCATTTGGTACAAATTTGGTAATTTTCAAAAAAATTAAAATCCATTAAAAATCCTGTTAAAATCTTAAAAATACCGAAGATAGCAGTTATATTCGAATACCCTCCACGATTTGATACAAATTTGGCAATTTTCAAAAAATTAAAATCCATTAAAAATTCTGCTAAAATCTTAAAAATACCGAAGATAGTAGTTATTTTGGAGTGTATACGACGTGGACCTACATATGCATTGTTTGTCATAAGCCATTGCCATTTCCAAATTCGAAACTTGAATTAAACGGTCAATAATGTAGCTAAAATTATAAAAATATCGTATATAGGGAGATACCGTTATATCGGAGCTGTGAGAAGACCTGGTCCAACGAACTTCAAATACGACATCTCAAACAATTTCGGTGAGTATTGTACATAAAATCGTCAAAATACCGAATATAGGGAGGTACTGACATATGGGGACTATACGAAGATCTGGACCTGTATAGACAATTTTCTGTCACAGACTGAAGTTCCCATTATGAACTCTAAATAGGTAATTTGAAACAATTCCGGTAAATAATGTCGCTATAATCATCAAAATACCGAATATCGGGAGATAGCGTTATATGGGGGCAATATGAAGACGTGGACCTGCACAGACAATTTTCTGTCTCATGCTGTAGTATCCATTACGAACGTCAAATACAAAATTTAAAATAATTCCGGTAAATAATGTCGCTAAAATCACCAAAATACACAATATGGGGAGGAACCTTTATGTGGGGGCTATACGAAGACGTGGGCCTGCACACACAATTTTCTCTCATAGGCTGTAGTATTCATTACGAACTTTAAATACCAAATTTGAAATAGTTCCGGTAAATAATGTGGCCAAAATCATCAAAATGCCGTATATCGGGGCGAATCGTTATATGGGGGCTATACAAGGACGTGGACCTACATGGCCCATTTTCTGTCTTATGCTGTAGAATCCATTACGAACTTCGAATACCACATTTGAAACAATTCCGATAAATAATGTCGCTAAAATTATCAAAATACCGAATATCGGGAGGTATCGTTATATGGGGGCTATACGAAGTCGTGGATCTACATGACCCATTTTCTGTCTTATGCTGTAGTATCCATTACAAACTTCAAATACCAATTTTGAAACAATTTCGGTAAATAATGCCGCTAAAATCATAAAAATATCGCATATCGGGAGGTACCGTTATATAGGGGCTATACGAGGACGTTGATCTACATGATCCATTTTCTGTTTTAGGCTGTAGTATCCATTACGAACTTCGAATACCAAATTTGAAACAATTCCGGTGAAGAAATTCGCTAAAATCATCAAAATACCGAATATCGGGGTTGCCGTTATATGGGGGCTATACGAAGACATGGACCTGCACAGACAATTTTCTGTCTTAGGCTGTAGTATCCATTATGACTTTCAAATACCAAATTTTAAACAATTCCGGTGAAGAAATTCGCTAAAATCGTCAAAATACCGAATATCGGGGGTACCGTTATATGGGGGCTATACGAAGACGTAGACCTACATGCCCCATTTTCTGTCTTATGCTGTAGTATCCATTACAAATTTCAAATACCAATTTTGAAACAATTCCGGTAAATGATGTCGCTAAAACCATCAAAATACCGCATATCGGGAGGTACCGTTATATGGGGGCTACATGAAGATGTGGACCTACATGACCCATTTTCTGTTTTAGGCTGTAGTATCCATTACAAACTTCAAATACCAATTTTGAAACAATTCCGGTAAATAATGTCGCTAAAATCATCAAAATACCGAATATCGGGGGAACCGTTATATGGGGGCTATACGAAGTCGTGGACCTACATAGCCCATTTTTTGTTTTAGGCTGTAGTATCCATTACGAACTTCGAATACCAAATTTAAAACAATTCCGGTAAATAATGTCGCTAAAATCATCAAAATACCGAATATCGGGAGGTACCGTTATATGGGGGCTACACGAAGACGTGGATCTGCATAACCCATTTTCTGTTTTAGGCTGTAGTATCCATTAAGAACTTTGAATACCAAATTTGAAACAATTCCGGTAAATAATGTCGCTAATATCATCAAAATACCGAATATCGGGAGGTACCGTTATATGGGGGCTATACGAAGATGTGGACCTACATGGCCCATTTTCAATACCAAAAGTCCTGCAGACATAATACACATTTGAATAAATTTTTATCACATTATTTCATTCGGAAGCTAGAGTGATTTCCACAGACGGACAGACGGACGGACATTGTTAAATCGACATAGAATTTTATGCTGTTCAAGAATATATATACTTTGTGGGGTCTAAAATGTATATTTCGAGGTGTCACAAACGGAATGACAAACTTAATATACCCTCCATACTATGGTGGAGGGTATAAAAACAATAGCATACGGCAAAGAATGCTAAAGGACAAACGGACAACGATGGTCATTCAATAGAAAAGCAGAACACAACGATAATTACAATATGGTCGGCATAAAGTGGAAAAATCAATCTACGTTGGGCTATTTTAAATGTTTGCTTGTGTGTGTGCAATTCAATAACGCTGGCTGTGTGTGAGTGTGTGTTTTAGAGATTGTTATGAGCGAGTAGTATAACACAATACACAATAAATTTCAGTTTCTGACAAAACAAATCCGATTTAAATCTCAACAACTTTTTTTTGTTGTTGTGCCGTATTTTGTTTTGTGTGCACAAAACTTTATTCATTTCCGCTTTCCGCTGGCATTGCATTGCACTTTAGAGCACCTACCGCAATGGAAATACCAAAAAAAAAATGGAAAACAAAACAGAACTGAACTGAACAGAAAATGAAAAATCACAATTTTCCACGGCTAAATTGAAAAATATGCAACAAAAATGTTTCGTAGGTCGAATGGAAAAAACAAATTGTCCAGCCATGTTTTTCATTACTTTATGTTGGAATGGTGTTTGGTTTATGTGTTTGTGTGTGTGGGTGGGTGTTTGAACACCATTCTGCATATTGCATACTAAATATGCAGTGTGGAGAGAGCTGAGAGAAAAAACAAAAACATGACTAGAAAATTGAGTTTCTAAAATGTTTTTTTTTTCGTGGTGGTTTATTTCGTTTCTGGTCCCTCTTCTTCACCGGCCACTTCACAACATGTAAAACAAATATTATCCTTGGCGGTCTATTTCGGTATTTGTCATCGTCATTCCCCCCCGCCCCTTATACCTACAACTAAACATTAACAACAAGCCTGTACAGGCAGTTTTGCACAATGTTATTTGTTGTTGTTTGTATTTGGTGGTGGTGATGGCGATGGTGATACTCACTTTTCGAGTATCTGCAATACTTTTTTTTCCGCTGTGGCTTTTTTCTAGGTAAATTGTCGCCAACACACCCCAAAAAAAAATAGAAGAACTATGTTGATATGTAGTCGCGGACAATATTTGCCTTGATTGTCAAATTTTAGAATTTTTTTGTGTTTTTTAGAAAGTAATTGAAATGTTTAGGATTGTTTTTTAAGATAAAAAAAAGAAAAAAAATCCATTTTGTTTTTAAGAAAGTAAATTTCAAATAGTTTTTTTCTTTCCAGGCATATTCTTATTGGTTTCAAATAATCGAATAGCGGACATAAATCCCATTGTGACCTGATTTTTTTGGGGATAAATACATGAATACCCGGCTATTCGACCTGAAAATTCGGATGCAAAATCCGGGTTTTATCTGGCTCCACAAAATAGGTATCATTTGAAAGCATATGAAAATAGCCAATCTTAGAAATGATCATATGATACATGGATACCCGGTTATTCTACCCTAAAATTCGGATACATATGATGGGTTTGTTTGAACCGATTCCGTAGTAATACACGAACTAGAACTTTTTGAATAACCTATGACAAGTCGAAATGGTGTATTAAGATCTGTAAACTACACTATAGCCTACATGTTCCTTGGGAGAAATACATGGTCACCCCCTTATTCGACACAAAAGTACGGATAAAAAATCCGGGCTTATCCGGTTCTACAAAATGGTTATAATTTGAAAGCATACGAAGACTATACACTTATGGTGATCAGAGGGTAAAGATCATGGGATACGGCAAAAATTTGCCTCATCGAAATAACAATTTTAGACCCTAGGTCCCTTTGGACCAAATCCGTTTCAGGACATTTGGAGTCGATCTAGCGATGTCCGGTCGTCCGTTCGTCAGTTTGGCTCTTTGATATGCACGATAACTTTCGAAAGTAGTATTCGATTAGGTCCAAATTTGGTATATCGTAATACTATTGTCAAAATTAGATTGAGTTCGGAGATGTGCAATGTCGGTCCACTGGTACCTACTGGTACATTTCCCACAAAAGATCAAATTTTTCATAGAAAATAATTTATGTCATAAAACAAGAAAGGATCATCTGATTTTGTGCAAATCCAAATATTTTTGTGGGTGCTATGTCAGTTGCGAAAACGAACAATATCGGTCCAATCCGTCATGTACTTCCTCCATAAAATGTCAATATTTTAAATAATTATAAATTTTTAAAAATCTGAAATAAGGGTCCGATTGTCTTCAAATTTCACGCATTTCACTATTTGTAGCAAAACAAGATCTGGTATAAATATGATATATATTGGACCACTCCTTCTGGTACCTCCCCCACAACGGGTCAACATTTTGAAAAAAATATAAATAAAAAAATTTCCCATAAAATGAGAAATAAATACTCTATTATCTTCAAATTTCGCACATCCTAATATTTTTACTAACACAAGATCTGGTGTAAAAATGGTGGATATGGACTTACTTCTTCAGGTACCTCCCCCACAAAGGGGTCAAAATTTTGAATAACCACGAAGCTGCTAAAACGCGAAATGAGCGATTATTTTCGAACTCAGCACATCCCAATATTTCTATAAACACAAGATCAGGTGTGAAGATGGGATATATGGGTCCACTCCTTCTGCTACCTCCCCGACAAAGGGGTCAAAATTTTGAATAACCATGACGCTCATAAAACGGAAAAAAAATCATCCGATTACTTTCAAACTCGGCACATTTAAATATTTTTATCAACGCATAATCAGGTGGGAAGATGGGATATATGGGCCCACCCCTTCCGGTACCTCCCCTACAAGGGGTCAAGATTTTGAATAATTATATCTCTAATAAAATTAAAATAAGCTTTCGATTCTCTTCAAATTTCGCACATCCCAATACTTTTACTAACACAAGATCTGGTATAAAGATAGTGGATGTGGGCTAACTTCTTAAGGTACCTCCCCCACAAAGGGGTCAAAAATGTAAATAACCATGAAGCTTATAAAACGCAAGATAATCCCAATATTTCTATCAACACAAGAATAGGTGTGAAGATGCTATATGTCGGACCATTCCATGAATAATTTTATCTCTCATAAAATGAGAAAAAGGTCCACAATTCTCTTCAAATTTCGCATATCCCAATACATTTACTAACACAAGATCAGGTGGATATGGGCTCACTTCTTGTAGTACCACCTCCACAAAGGGACTCAAATTTTTTAATAACCAAAACGCAAATAAAATGCGAAATAACCTTTCGATTCTCTTCAAATTTCACACATCGCTACATTTTTATTAGGACAAGATTACATATATCGGTCCATCCCCTCTGTAACCTCCTCCACAAAGGGTCATAATTTTAAATAATTATATCTCTCACAACTTGCAAAACAAGCCAGCGATTCTTTTCAAACTTTTCTCAAAACAAGCCAGCGATTCTTTTCAAACTTTTCTCTCAAGATCTGGCGTGAATTAAGGAATTAATCGGCTCACTCCTCCCGTACCTCCCCCACAAAAGCTATCATTTTTGATTAGCTGTTATTTACATAAAATTGATAACAAATGCCTAATTTTCTAAAATTTTGCACATCACAATATTTTTCCCAGTATTGGAAAAAGTCGAACACTTCGGCAAACTATTTCTGGTACTTCGCGCATGTTTCAACATTTTCGAGAAAATATCAAAATTAACTATATTCAAATCTAAATTTAACATTTCATCATCAAGACGTGAAAATATTTCCTGGAAAAATACTTAAAATCTCCCTCTAACGACTGCTCTAATAGTCAAATAATTTCATCCAACCTTAAAATTTCACATTCCAAAAATTTTGAAATACTTCAATATTTTTACAACTAGTTATATTTGCTTCTTTTCCCACTTACCTGTATTCTTGTATATCGAATTGGCTCTTTGGACATGTCGCGTTATGGCCTCAATGCTCGCCTCATCTGAACCCATTTTCTGAAAAAATGTATGATCCGCCTGCAGATACAACATGCACGTTATCTTACGATCATACAGCGACTTTACACTATTCGGGCTATCGCCATAATCCCCGCCACGATTGCTTAGCAAGCTGGTCATTAGCATGCTATTGAAATTGGGATTGTGTGGATTGGGCGCCATCATTATTTCCGGATTGTAATTATTGACAATGATATTGGGTTTTTTGGTGGCACCATTTTTGGTGATTATTTCCACATGGGTCTTGTGGATCGGTCGATCATTGCCCATGAAGATGGTGGTCCAGTTGTTGTTGAAGAAACCACCACCGCCGCCCCCGTTGCTGTCATTGAAGTCGTCATACGATGAGCGATTGTTGTAGGTGCTGACAATGATGTTTTTGTGTTTGGTGTAGGTTTTCCTCACATTGTTGTTGTTGTATGAACTGTCTCCATTGTTATTATTATTGTTGTTGTTGTTAGGATTATAATTACTAACAATTATGTTACGGTTGCGATTGTATTTCGTCGATGATGATGATGCGGAGGAGGACGAGGACGAGGGAGTAAATGGTGGTGGTGGAGTATTGGCAGTTGTGTCTGATGCTGCTCCTCCACCCTGCTTTGTCTGCTGCTGACCAGCATTACGCCACGTTATCACAGATGCTTGTTGCGTTTTACGCTTTTGTTCTTCTTCTTCTTCTTTTTTATTGGAATTCGCTAATGTAGCGCTTGAACTGGATTCAGAATTTGTATCCGCATTATGGTAAATACTGTAGTCATCATTATAGGGAACATCTAAATCCAAAGGCAACGGTGGGTCGTTTTTATGGCCATCGCCAGATGAAGCCAGCTGCAAGAGAAATGAAAACAAAAACAAATGTTAAAAAAAAAGACGGAAACAAAACAATGAGAAAACAAATTAAGGCAACCGGCAAAAAAATCGTATGGCCTAAAGGATTAATGACAGAGGCAGTTTGCAAAGGATTGCAGGAATACAAAAAAGAGGAGGACAATGGTGAAAGTTAAATCCATACAAAAGAAACAAAAAAGATGATTGATCCTTTCATGCCAGTCTTTGTTCAAAACATATGTGTTCATTTTTTGAGCCATTCATGGTTTTTGTTGTTGTTTGAGTTAAGCCGAAAATGATGGAAACTCAAGGCATAACAAATAAATTGAAAGGCATAATTTTTCATTAACACAGAACCTCTGCTGCAGAATAATATATACAGGGTACAGAAAATCTTCTTTTGTGCGGTAACGTTATCCACGATTGTAGAAAAATTATTCATGGTTAAATTGTATTGTGAAAAAATATTCCACATCATGTTACCTACTGGATATACAAATTTCTTTTGTTCGGAGACTCCCAATAAAATTTGATCTAGAATAGTTCTTCTTTTGGAACATTTCGCAAAAAATTAAGTCTAAAGGCAATTTTGACTCTGATTGGATACGTGTTAAATTAACAGTGAAAACGTTATATTCTCTTTTGGTACACACATTCGAAATATAATTTTCCTAAAAACTATTGTACCTAGATATATGGTTTTTTCTGAGATTGAAAACGAAATTTTGTATAGAATATTTCTTATTTGACAATTTTCGACAGAAACGGATTTCTATGTTACTTTCAGGCGTCAACTCGAAAAAAGTAGGGAATATTTTCGGTATTTTTTGTGGTGAGATGAAAAAAATGCAGCCATCTTCAGGCTGCTGTCATTTCTAAGCCACTCGTCCGACAGCTGTTAAAATTATTCCAGTGACAGTTCATTATATTGTTTACAAGCGTACAAAAGCATTTTGATGCGAATATTCCAGAAAAAAAGTTATTCATGATGGAATTCAAGCGTGATAGGGTGATTTCTTTATATTTGGTCGGAAAACGACAAGTGACAATCGTCCGAGCACTCCAGCATTTAAATGTGAATAAATCTTTTGTGTCTCGTACCATCGCTCGTTACCGTGATACTAGTAGCGTAGCCCAACGTCAAGGAAATGGACGGAAGAAAACAGCAACATCAGCAGAAATGGTTCGAAAAGTAAAGAAGCGATTGGATCTAAACCCGCTTCGCAGTGGCCGAAAAATGGCTGTGAGCTGAACATATCGCAATATTCCATTCGGAAAATATTAAAAAATGAGCTCGGGGTAAAGTCATTAAAATTCCAAAAAGTGCAAGAACATATACCGCAACATAAAGAAAAAAGACTTAAAAGAGCTAAAGAGTTGCTTCGCTTGGCCGAAAGTGGTGAAGTTCCGAATTTGGTTTTGTCCGATGAGAAAACATTCGTTGTCCAGCAGTTTGTAAACATACAAAATGATCGTGTTTACTTGCCAAAGAGGTCAGCTGAAAATGTGAACCTTCGGTTGGCCACCAGAACTCAAGAGCCGGTCATGGTGACCGCGTGGACCGCCATAACAGCCGATGGTCGCTCTCCGCTCGTATAAATCGACAGTGGCATCAGAATAAATGCCGAATATTATCGCCAAAATATTGTGGAGGGTGTATTAAAACCTTGGCCATGCAAACATTTTGGTCACAGACCTTGGACGTTCCAACAGGAATCACCACCATCGCACGCAGCACGCCCCACCCAAGAAAGGTTATAAAATGTGGTTCATCGCTTCATTTCCAGCGCACAAAGGCGACTAAAATCTCCGGATACCAATCCGTTGGACTATTGTGTCTGGAGTATTTTGGAAAGCATGGTTGGCACTAAAAGATATCAAAGTGCCGATCAGCTCAAGCTAGCTCTTCGTCGGGAATGGACCAAAATACCGCAGAGCCACATTCGGGCAGCGTGTGACGGTTTCATTGGCCATTTAAAGGCCAAAGATGACCAATTCGAACAAATCTAGACTTATGGCAAAATTTGATGCTATTTCCGACATTTTTTGGTGACTTATATCAAAATTTGCTGAGGAGGTTTTAGTCCTCATCCATCATCCTAGTTTGTAATATACACAAGTAAGTGCCCGCAACTTCGTCAGCGTGAAATCCACCTCAAAACTTTAGATTCGTTCCAACAGCTCATGTTAGGTCTTTTTATTCCCCCTACCATGGTATGAAATATACATTGTAGACCTCACAAGGAACATATATTCTTGATCATCATAAAATTCTATGCCGATTTAACGATGTCCGTCCGTCTGTAGAAATCACTCTAGCTTCCGAACGAGTTAAAGTAGGTAGAAATAGTAGTAAGTAGTACATTTTACTCAAATGTGTGCTTGGTCTGTAGGACTTTTGGTAAATTGGCTATAAAAGTCCATGTTTAGGTCTAGCCGCCATATAACAGTACCTCCCTTTCGGTATTTTGATAATTTTAGCGAAATTATTCACCGGAATTATTTAAAATTTCGTATCCTCAGAAAAATATCCTAATGGGTTCTAAAGTCTTTGACAGAAAATTGTCTATGCAGGCCCAGGTCTTCGTATAGTCCCCATATATCGGTATCTTCCTATATTTAACAAGTCTTCAAAGTCTTTCAAAGTTTATAACAAGTCTTCAAAGCATTTAATTTTTAAGTGTACCGAGGAGGATATAAGAAAAACCTTTGCACAATGGACCCACATCCATTTTTTTTGTTCAAAACTATTTCGAAGTCTCCATATGCAAACCCTAGAAACCAACAGTGACCTTAACATGAAGTCTCAGGAGTTCAGCTCTATTCCTTCACCAAATACTAAATTTGGTAGCATTTAGTGCGCACACCCGAAAGAATCTACATCTCTCTTCATATGAGATACCAACACCGATCCAGTAATTTTATAATAGTAATTTCCAGAAACCAATAAAGACCTCAATATCGAATTTCGGGATTCCAGCTCTATTCCTTCAACCAATGTCCAACTTAGTACGATTTAGTTTTTTTTCGTACAATTATAGCGCACATTTATGAAATCACCTCCATATCTGGAATTCAGATATGGAGGCAAAACGAGACCTTAGCATAAAATTTGAGGTTTTCAGCCCTATTCCTTCAATCAATACAAAATTTAATATCACTTAGTACTTCTTTCGAGCAACTTAAGTACACATTTCCGAAACTACCTCCATATCTTAACATCTATATAAAATTTGAGTATTCCAGCCTTATCCCTTCACCCAATACAAAATTAAGTAACATTTAGTACTTTCGTAAAATATAATACGCATTTCCAAAACCAACTCCACCTTATATCTTAATTACAGATACCAACAGAGTCCTCAGTGTTGAAGATTTCAACTACTAAATTTATTACTTTTCGTACAAATATAGGACACATTTCCAAAACCACCTAAAAATCTCAATTCCAGATACAAACAGAGACCTCTATATCGAATTTCGGTATTTTACATCTATCCGCTCACCCAATATAGTACCTATTTCCCAACCAGCTCCACATCTCAATTCTAGATGCTGATCACTGATCTAAATATTCAATATCAGAATTGTACTAAATATAGTATCATTCAGTATGTTTCGTACAAATATAGTACACATTTCCAAAATCATGTATTTATGTCCAGGCTGCACATAAACGGCGACTCTTGTACCAAATTTCAGATTTCAAGTACCTCTAGAACTTTTGGTACAATTATAGTACACAGTTTCAACACCACCCTTTTTCACAAGTCAACAGGGGCCCTAGTACTACATTTCAAAATGCCAGTCCTATCCGTTCACTCCAAACCGAAATGTTCCAAATTTAGTACCATTTAGTACAGTTCCCACACTTCGTACGTATTTCTAAAACCACCTAGATATTCGAACTTTCTTTCCAACCTTGATTCTCATACCAAATTTCAAGTACCGAATTGCTAACTACCCTTTGGTACATCTATCCGTTCATCAGTGACTCTCATTTCAAATTTCTTCTTCTAACTGATTTCGGTTTTTTCAATGTATATTATATTTTAGTATTTTGAATACACTTTCAGTTCGAATTTCCAAAAACCCAGGCTTTTCCCACGCCTTCGCACCAATACCGACACCAAATCAAAATTTGAAAATTCCAGCTTCATCCGTTGACCCTAAACCAAGCGGTTCCAAATTTAGCACGATTCGAACACGTAGCACATATTTCCAAAACCACCTTCACACATCAAACTTACTTGCGAACCTTGATTCTCATACCAAATATCAAGTACCATTTTAGAATTTTTCGTTCAGGTTGAACGAAAGCATAACAAGTGGAGAAAGATGTAAATGTTAATAAGTTCGGTTGTAAGATTGAGAAGACTTTCCAAAAGAGTTTTAGTTTTATTTAATTCTTTGGTTCCTCTTCTATTGAGCTTACGATCTCGTCACCTGGCTAAAAAATGTTTTTTGTCATAGAAGTTATTTTTAAAATAACTTCTGGGGAGAATATCCCAGACAAAAACAAGGGAACTGATGAGGATTGGTGGCTCTTTCCGAAACCTAGGTATTCCCTGCCTTACCCCCTGGTAAACATTACCATCGTTCTCCACTAATAAACAAACGTTGTTTTTATAAAAACAACAATAAAGGGATAAGCCTGACCATTTTGCAACAACAAAATACTACGGTATCCCGAACAAACAAGCCACACTGTTCTATTTTTCGTAAACTTAAAATTTGCCCAGTGCAAAGCTGTACAATTCTAGTAGATTTTAGTTCTTTTAATACACTTGTAGTCCGAAATTCCAAAAACTCAGAATTATCACACACCTACGCAATTAGACTGACCCTCGTGCAAAATTTCAAAATTTTTTGTTTCGACATATAACGTCACCTCCCGATATTCGGTATTTTGATGATTTTGCCACATTTTTTCACGGATTTGTCTAAGAATTGGGATTTGTAGATAATAATAGGTTTTAGCTCCTGTGGCAGAACATTGT